TAACATCAGAAACATCAACACACTGATAGCTTAACATGAGAAACATGACAACTAAAACATCAAATGAAAATGATCCGCTCTAAATATAGGAAGTATATTTTTAATCCCTGCCGAGCAATGGCTAGTGTTTACATAGGCAACACCGACATTTTTGCTTGTCCAGTCACCCGTAATCCCTCGCTTGATCTCGGCTGGAAATGAGATGGCGCTTGCACTGTTACAAGCGTCCGTTTGTACGCACAACACTGAAGGAAGCAAATACTCACTTGACAACCCTTTGTGTCATCGTGTATTGTCCAACAGGTCAGCTAATTGTCCTCCCCACCCGTACTGATGAAGCCGGAATTGTTTAAATCTGTCGAGTTGGCGAAGCTGACTCCTCCCTTTGTAAGCACGGGACGAGGATGAGGATTAGTGATATATATATAATTGGGGATGCTGTACAAGGCTTTAGTTCATAGACAGTTTTTCGACGTGATGTGGTGTGGTCAGCTATGGGTTCGCTGTGGTCCAAGGTAGATGACATTTTTTGTTCATTTTGTGTTTTATTATAGTGTGGACAAATGTGCTTATTTATTTTTTAGATTTGTTGAAATATGAAATGATTGTATATCCATTGATATAAAGAAAATTAACTTTAATATTCGTCTGATTTTGTCGACTTCAAAATAATTAAAGTGATGTCTTAAAATCAATATTTCATTTCAAGTATCTGACATTGGGTGGTGGTGGTGGGGTAGCCTAGTGGTTAATGCGTCCGCTCGTCACACCGAAGACCCAGGTTCGATTCCGCAATTTGGTACAATGTGTGAAGCCCATTCCTGTGTCCCCTGCTGTGATATTGAGAGAATATTGCTAAAAGCGGTGTAAAACCATACTTACTCACTCGCTGATTTGGGGAGTTAAAAAATTGTTAATCAGAATTTGCATGATAGATATGTGAAGCCTCATTTAGAGTTAATGTTAAGAACTGTGTTGACTCTGCTCTTACTCACGCAGGCCTTGCAGGGTGTTTTGTGTATTGTGCTTTCATGAAAATAGCACTCATCAGCTATCAGTCTATGCATTTTAGTGAACGTAACGATCTCCTAGGGCCTAAAAAAAAATGTTGTGGTTCTGATTACCTGATTTCCCTTGAATTCTGGTGCCGACCCTAGTTTTTTAAAGGTATAAATAAAGTAAGCTTTCAGAAACCATTGTTTTTTCCTGGCACCGACAGACATTGGTCATTTTGATAAAGAAAGTCGACGTGATGGCCGCATGCTTGATTGAATAAACAATTACACATTGATAAATGTGTTATTAGTGCGTACTTTACTTCTAAAAAAAATGTGAAAAAAAAGAGAATTTCTACCTACCTACCCTAAATTTTAAAGAGGTGTGACCCGGGAAGATCCGGGGTAGAATAGGTCTTCAGCAACCCATGCTTGCCACAAAAGGCGACTATGCTTGTCATAAGAGCCGACTAACGGGATGGGGTGGTCAGGCTCGCTGACTTGGTTGACACATGTCATCGGTTCCCAATTGTGTAGATCAATACTCATGCTGTTGATCACTGAATTGTCTGGTCCAGACTTGATTATTTACAGACCGCCGCCATATAGCTGGAATATTGCTGAGTGTGGCGTAAAACTAAACTCATTCACTCAATTTAAAGAGGTGTAATCGGAACCACAACATCTGTTTTGTTTTGCCTAGACAATGTGCTGTCAGTGTGCGAAAAAGCCACTGGTCTGCCAGCTAGGACCAGAGATAACTAAGTATGTGAGTGTAAATATCAATGAACAATCCGAGTGTGTGTGTGTGTCTGTATGCCAGTCAGGTTGTCACAGTGTTTAGTCGGGTTTACTGAAACTTAGATGATCAAATGCTTGTATTCTCTCCTTCTGCCTCTGAAGCAAACGTACAAAAAACTCCTAAGCAAGACTTTGTCAACTGTAGATTTCGTCAGTCTGGGTTGATTAATTTATCACTTTAAACTGGTGTCTTTCTCTAAGCTATTACTGATCATGATGAAACTAATATTCTATATTTATATTTAAATCGTAATATGTCGCTTGTTGTAATAGTTAATAATGAATTTTTGTATGAATTATTACTCCATGATATGTTAATGTTCCTTCCTGGAGCTGAATTCTAGCTGACACACTCACTCACTCACTCACTTACTCATTCTGTCACTCTGTCACTCACTCAGTCACCCGGTCACTCCTCACACTCACTCGGTCACTCACTCACTCACTCACTCACCCACCCACCGACTCACTCACTCACTCACTCACTCACTCACTCACTCACTCACTCACTCAGAGGCTGCTTGCTTTAACCATGTTATAAATATTCCATACAGCAGGTGTCCCAAGATCAACATTAGCTTGAAGGAACACTCCAGGCCTGTAAGGCACCCAACACTGCCCTCCTTTACATTCACACAACTGACACAATCAAACTTCAGCTACAGCATCATGTCTGAAACCCTGGGTCAATATCAGAATGTCAGTGCTTTTACAATATGGTCAAGGGGGCATAACTCTTGTCATGAAAGTTACGGAATAGGAGACCACCATAAAATCCTTGCGCAAGACACCTCAGGAGTATTTGACTATTTAAATATTTGACTTCATTTTTCTTTTTTATTCTTTCTTTTTGCATATCATTCATCATCATCATCATCATCATCATTGTCATAAATCATTGAAATAAATCATCATCATCATCTTCATCATGATCATCATTGTCATAAATCATCATCATTATCTTCATCATCATTGTCATAAATCATTATCATCATCATCATTGTCATAAATCATTATCATCATCATCATCATCATCATCATCTTCATCATCATCTATTAATCTATCAGAAGCATGCACCAGCATTCACTGTTTGCTGAAAGTGTGACTTTGACAGTTGTTGTTGACTTTCGTCTCCTGGAGTATTAGTGTAGAGTTTGCCCTGATGTACTTGCTCCTATATCCCGTAGATCTGCCTTAGATCCTCTGGTCATAGACTGAGGAGCTCAATAAGCAAGACATTATCTCATGGCATGTGAATCTGTATACTGTGGTGGGGTAGCCTTGTGGTTAATGTGTTGGCTCATCAGGCTGAGTCTGGGTTTGATTCCCCACATGGGAGCAATGTCTGGTGTCGTGATATTGCTGGAATGTTTCCAGAACTAGGGCCAGTGGGGTAGCCTAGTGGTTAAAGCAGTCACCCGTCATGGGGCCGGTGGGGTAGCCTAGTGGTTAAAGCAGTCGCCTGTCATGGGGCCGGTGGGGTAGCCTAGTGGTTAAAGCAGTCGCCCGTCATGGGGCTGGTGGGGTAGCCTAGTAGTTAAAGCAGTCCTGTCATGGGCATGGGGCCTGGTGGGGCAGCCCGTATGTATTTAGCCTAGTGGTTAGCATGGGGCTGGTGGGGTAGCCTAGTGGTTAAAGCAGTCGCCCGTCATGGGGCTGGTGGGGTAGCCTAGTGGTTAAAGCAGTCGCCCATCATGGGGCTGGTGGGGTAGCCTAGTGGTTAAAGCAGTCGCCCGTCATGGGGCTGGTGGGGTAGCCTAGTGGTTAAAGCAGTCACCTGTCATGATAACAATATTGCTCAGATGAAGTCTGAATTGACCCGACTTTTTTTCATTTGAAATTCTTGACCAAAAATTACAGAAAAGAAGGAAGGATTTAATTTTAGTAAATACTGTAATTCACTGCATTGCATGATTGCAAAAAAAAAAAAATTCTCAAGAGACTCATGAAAAAACTGTATAATGCATGTAAACTTTATAATCTGTATGTATGTATTTATAAAGTAGTTCAAATTAATACAAATTTCAACACTGATGCATTCAATAAGAGTAAATATTGGTGAAACCTGCATTTGTTCCAGTTAGTATTAAATGTTTAAATAACAAATTCAACACGTCTTTTTATGTCTAATTTCAAAATAGAATTTCTAGTCAATATAGAATTTCTAGTCAATATAGAATTTCTAGTCAATACAAATGTTTTGTGTACAATTTGATGTATTTATAGCCTGATTATTTTATACAAATAGTTTTACGATTATCATTTGTAATGTTATATATAGCTGCTTTATGAATGTAAAAAATGGAGAACTATACATGACGCAAAACAAATTTATTTGGGATAATAAAGAAATTATCTTATATTATCTTAACACGGAATATTGGGTATGCTGCTGACAAAACCTTTGAATGTTGGATTTGAACCAGTGATCACTGGTTCCTGGCACACAAAAGGGAAGTAACTCTGCAGTTATGGTGATTTAAATGCCTGTGCTACTGTTGCCTCCAACTGTGTAATTTATGATAATCTGTTGTCTAAATGGTAGCACCTGAATTTGCTTCTGTGAATTAATTACTTACAAAACTGAACCAAATTGCAGGATGTCTGGTCAAATACGAACATGTTGATGACACTACTGGTATAAGCATGAACTCAGTTGAGTGAGTGAGGTTAGGTTTACGCCGCTTTTAGCAATATTCCAGCAATATCACGGCAGGGGACACCAGAAATGGGCTTCACACATTGTACTGATGTGGGGAATCAAACCCGGGTCTTCGGCGTGATGAGCGAGCACTTAACCACTAGGCTACCCCACCGCCCCATACCCAGTTGATATCAGTGGTAGTTGAGTTATTCAGGAATTCTCCCATTCCTTAGAGACCCACGAAGATCCGGGTTAGAATTGGTTTTCAGCAACCCATGCTTGTCGAAAGAGGCGACTAACGGGATCAGGTAGTCAGGATCGCTGACTTGGTTGATGCTTGTCATTGTATGCCAATTGCATAGATCAATGCTCATGCTGTTGATCCCTGGATTGTCTGGTCCAGACTTGATTATTTACACAGACCGACGTCATATAGCTGGAATATTGCTGAGTGCAGCATTAAGAAACAAACAAACAAGAAGGTGAGCTACAGAACCATGTCCTATGTATTGCTCCAAGAATGTCAAATCATACTTACATTCATTTTTCTCTTCTGCAGAGGAAAAGTGAGGGTGATGAGAACAGTGACGTTTTCTTCCGTGGAGCCTCGGCAGAAAGCGAGGTTGGCGAGAAAGTCATTGTTCCTCCAGTCGACGAAAATTGGACCTCTGAATTCCCCTGGGCGTGGGCTTACAATGAGGAGGATGCCCCTTGGCAAGATGCTGTACATAGAGAAAATGAATATTATGACACATGGTACGCAGAGAGAGCCAGCCTCAACCAATCAGATTCTCCGGAAAAGGAGACGAATATGGTTGGGGCTGAAACTAAACAAACGACAATTTCCAAACAAGTTTCGACGAAAGATGATGTGCAAAAGAGTGAAAATTCCACGGAATTGATGACAAGTGATAATGACTATGTGAGAGACAATGACAAAAATGACTTTCAGTTTGAAATTCTCGATAACCGAGAATGTGTCAAAACTGAATCCACAGAACTTTTGAAAATCATTGACAGTGACTCTGATCTGAAGATGAAAGACGAGCCATACATTGAAAGTGATTTCAATGATCCGACAAGTGTTGGCGACTTCGAAGTCTCGGCAAGTGACGACACCGGACTGAACATGTCTGTGTCTGACGTGGACACGACAGACCAGGACATGGGCATGAGCATGTCGGACATGACAAGTTCTCAGTCATCGGGCACTTTGTCGTGTGGTGAAATCATGTCGGACAGTATGTGCGAGAACCTAGATGACATCGAGGTTTCAGAAACCCAAGTCATGACTTTCGATGATTCAAATGTGACCAAACTCCTGTCCGATTCAAGTTTTGCGACCGATCCTGATAGTGGCTTGGACAGAACAATCGATGATTCCATGTTGGACATACTAAACATGTCCTCAGACACTAGTCACAGTTGCTCTGAAACAACATCAAGTGAAATCCCTCCTGTCACAGAGAGTGAAAGTGTTTTGACTCTTGATAACAGATCGAATGAAGCCACTTGCGATCCCTTCCAGCATAAACCCAAAGAATCTGAAGGTGTGGTTCCAGGTGGAGACTACAGCCACACTGGTGCCATTCCTTCCGATGCTTCTCAGTCCATTCATGACATAACCAAAGATGAATCATTTCGCGAAGATCCTACTCATATCTCCACTTCTCAGGAAGGTGTTCGCCAGTGGGTTCCTTCATCTCCTGACCAAAGTCTTTCACACTCACCCTCCACTGATGATGGGACCACGGACTTGACCAGTCACCACGGTGATGAATATTATGACAATTATGTTCCTGGGACAGATCCTGATGGACAGTTCAGCACTGCATCTCAGGAGGCACTGTATTACTCCTATCCCGATGATGACCTTTCTTCTATGGATCAAGATTCAGGTCTGTTGTCAGACACTCAGACCTTTCCCCGACTCGACCTCGACCAGTACTCTGGAGAAGTGATTCCTGGCCAGCCAATTATTGTGGTGTCGGAGTATCAAACCCCGGAGAGTACCCCTCTTGAAGAGACTGCTAAATATTCTTTTGATGCATATCGAGAACAGGTTGTGCCTTATACTGAAGAAGACGATGAAGATGATTTTCTTGCCAATGAGAAACTATGTGATAGTGAAACTACTGAATCCATGGACTTTAAACACGAACAAGTATGTGATGATTTACAAGATTACGATAATGCAGTAATTACTGGCCCAGATGAATCCCAAGACATTTTGGATTTTTCACATGAAGCAAGTGCAATTCAACAAGAACCATTTTTTGTTACGTGTGAACCTTGTGGTGAAACTCTTGACAATGTCACTGAAAGTGATCTTAGTTCCTCGCCATCCTTTGAAGTCAGTGCTTCTGTCCATGAGGTAATTAGTGACTCTGTAACAGACGTTTCAAGGACTATTTCACAGTTTAGTGAAACAGAGTCAACCAGATTTGATGAGCATTTTTATCAAGATAGTAATGCAAACATGATAACAGATGTACCTGACAGTGTCTCAACAGGGTTTCAGTCCCTTACAGACATGTCAGCTGGGTTAGATACATTTAAACACTCCAGTGTTTCCAGTCAGTCTCTAGGGGATGACGACTACGAAGATAATGCCACTGAATCCATTGTTGCAGAATCTGAGGCAGAGTCTCAGGACACCTCTGCTAGTGTTGTGACCGTAGTTGAATCTAGACTTGTGGATTTTGACAATATATCTGAGAGTGCTTCCTTTGAGGATTTTGCAAATATTCAAGAGTCAAGGAGCATGGAGAGTCTTGAAGGCACATCTGTGGATGTGTCACGTGAGGCTGTGGATGTGTCAGGTTCGTCTACAGTGCTGGCTGAGAGAAGTGAACTCTGCAGTGATGGCACATCGGTGGATGATGGGTCTGTAGGTGACAGCGATGGAAGTGCAAGAGAAGTAGATGCTGATGGTTCTCTTGTTACTGCTTCTGAGGGGACATCTGTTGATGACATAATGGATTCGATTTCCTCATCTTTTGACAATGTCGACACAAAATCAACCTCATCTGAACAAATGTTTGAAAGTGCAAGCGAGACTTCTTTAATTGAAGGGACATCAGTTGATGAAGCATTTGTGGCATTGGTCGAGTCTTCAGTTGACGGGACGATTGCAGGAGTAGCCTCAAAACCAGCCACTTACACATCTGAAGAAATTGTAACTGAAGAGTCATCAGTGTGTGTAGCCTCAGACACAGGCTGCCAGTCAGTTTCAGGATGCTGAAGGCTCCTCTGTTGATGGTCTTCCAAACATAGAAGCAATAGAAACTGAGAAACCAGACCACAAGACCAAAGATGTGCCATGTCAGCCAGTGGAACCCTCAGACAGTGAGGAACACATTACCACACCTCAATCAAGTTCTGCTGCTGTTGGTCCAGAGATGCCATCAAGTGTTCTGTTACGTGAGACACAGCATAGATCTGATACAGAAACTGCTGAAATTGAAACAAACAGACTGTCCACTCCTCTGTCAGACTATGCAACATCTTCAGATGGAGCCAGTAGTGATGATGTTGGCATCACCGATATGGATGTGGCAGCTGCTCTGGCTGCATGGGATTCAGCATCAAGTCAGCTTGCTTATGGAGAATCTGGAATGACTGTTCCAGAAGACAACGTTCATTTAGATTCCTCTGTTATCCCTCCAGTACAACCAACAACCACTGAAACTGTATCTGACTCTTTCAAAGAGCAGCCAGATACTGCTGAATCTGTTGAGGAAGATCAGTTCACTGAAGCAACCGATTCCCTTGAGGTTTCTACTGATGACACTGCTACAGCAGAGGCTGTTCTTACATCAGATGAGACTGTGGACCAATTAGAGGAATGTTTTGAAGATGTCAGCGAAGACATTCAAGAAAGTGATAAAATTTCTGTCTTGGTTGAAGGTTCAAATCAAGTTGATCAAGGAGCAAGTAGAACAAGTTCATCAACAAACATGCCACCTGAAACACTGTCTACCTCAAATGAATTTGAACCAGCTGTAGCTGAACAGTCCCATGGAGAAGCTGAACAGCTGGAGGTAGCTGAAGTTTTGCGGGCTACTGAACCTCGTGAATCTGACACAAGTGATGATAAAGTGTTTTCAGGTGAAGCCAAAGACGCCAGTTCAACTGATGCATCCACTGCAGAGACGAGTGGAACAGATCAAGTTCAATTTTCATCTGAAACGACAACTCTGTTTTCGGCTGGAGACGGGTCACTGGAAATGAAACAAGCTGAAGATGTATCTGACAAATCCATGTCAATGTCATGTACGGATACAATTGGTGATCCAATGGGTGAACCTCATGAAGAACTAAAGGGGGTGTTGCACCAGGTTGAGGACTTAGTTGTGGGTGATCTTGACAACCTCGAAAAAACAGAACATCAAGTTCACGTGTCATCAAGTGAAGATTCGGAGCTGATCAGAGAAAGTATGACAAGCTCAGAATTGGTTGATCGATCCTTGGAATCTTCAGAATCGACAAAAACTTTAAGACACAGAGGTGAGTCACTGACCCTTGAACAACAAAATGAACAGCCAGAAATTTGTATGGTGAAAGCTGCGGAAACAGTTACGGATACCCTATCATTTGCAGGAGAATCCACTTACTCCTTGTGCGAATACAGCAACACTGAACTGAAGCAACTGGGAATTATAGGTCTTCAGAGAGCCCGGGAATTTGTAGAGCTACCATTTCACATTATGGAGAGTGAATACTTAGTGCGCTACCTTACTGTTGACACTCATATAGCCACATTAGAGGTGCAGAAGAAGATTGAGACAGTGACAGAAGAACAGGAAGACGTGACAGAAGACAAAAGTGAACAGTCTTTTTTCATGGTGGCTGATGGGGACCATATCGATTACAACCTCTCAACTGAAATGTTCCAGAGCATGAAACTATTTGACGATGCTCCGCCTTCCCGAAGAATGTCCCAGTTGTACTACTCTGCTGACAGTACATATGTGGAGCCCTCCACAGAAATGGTTTGTCCATTGATAATTGCACAGGAAATGAGGCAGGATTTAAAGGCAGCCTCCATCAAACCTACTCATTCTACAGACTTGAGATCAGCTAATACACCCAGCTACTTATCAGAAGAAATGGATGCTGAAAATATAATTGTTCAAAGACAAATTTCCCAAGCAGTTGATGAAGATGAACCTGAAACTACTGAATCTGCCAGTGAAGATAGGCATGATGAAACCAAAGCTGTGGAGAGCTCAGAATTTGCTCCAGGTGGATGGTTTGACAATGTTGAAGATGGGCAAGAAATTGGTGCTGAAATTTTGACAGTTGATGGCCAAGTACCTCAACCAATCACTGAAGATGAACCTGAAACTACTGAATCTACCAGTGAAGATAAGCTAAATGAAACAAAAGCTGTGGAGAGCTCAGAATTTGCTCCAGGTGGATGGTTTGACAATGTTGAAGATGGTCAAGAAATTGGCGCTGAAATTTTGACAGTTGATGGCCAAGTACCTCAACCAATCACTGAAGATGAACCTGAAACTACTGAATCTGCCACTCAAGACAAACAAGATGAAACGAAAGCTGTGGAGAGCTCAGAATTTGCTCCAGGTGGATGGTTTGACAATGTTGAAGATGGTCAAGAAATTGGTGCTGAAATTTTGACAGTTGATGGCCAAGTACCTCAACCAATCACTGAAGATGAACCTGAAACTACTGAATCTACCAGTGAAGATAAACAAGATGAAACGAAAGCTGTGGAGAGCTCAGAATTTGCTCCAGGTGGATGGTTTGACAATGTTGAAGATGGGCAAGAAATTGGTGCTGAAATTTTGACAGTTGATGGCCAAGTACCTCAACCAATCACTGAAGATGAACCTGAAACTACTGAATCTACCAGTGAAGATAGGCAAGATGAAACGAAAGCTGTGGAGAGCTCAGAATTTGCTCCAGGTGGATGGTTTGACAATGTTGAAGATGGGCAAGAAATTGGTGCTGAAATTTTGACAGTTGATGGCCAAGTACCTCAACCAATCACTGAAGATGAACCTGAAACTACTGAATCCAGTGAAGATAAACAAGATGAGTGAAGATAGGTGGATGGTTTGACAAGATGAAACGAAAGCTGTTTTGACAGAGCCTGAACCTGAAACTACTGAATATACCAGTGTGAATGTGGAGAGCTCAGAATTTGCTCCAGGTGGATGGTTTGACAATGTTGAAGATGGTCAAGAAATTGGTGCTGAAATTTTGACAGTTGATGGCCAAGTACCTCAACCAATCACTGAAGATGAACCTGAAACTACTGAATCTACCAGTGAAGACAAACAAGATGAAACGAAAAGCTGTTGAGAGCTCAGAATTTGCTCCAGGTGGATGGTTTGACAATGTTGAAGATGGGCAAGAAATTGGTGCTGAAATTTTGACAGTTGATGGCCAAGTACCTCAACCAATCACTGAAGATGAACCTGAAACTACTGAATCTACCAGTGAAGACAAACAAGATGAAACAAAAGCTGTTGAGAGCTCAGAATTTGCTCCAGGTGGATGGTTTGACAATGTTGAAGATGGGCAAGAAATTGGTGCTGAAATTTTGACAGTTGATGGCCAAGTACCTCAACCAATCACTGAAGATGAACCTGAAACTACTGAATCTACCAGTGAAGACAAACAAGATGAAACGAAAGCTGTTGAGAGCTCAGAATTTGCTCCAGGTGGATGGTTTGACAATGTTGAAGATGGGCAAGAAATTGGTGCTGAAATTTTGACAGTTGATGGCCAAGTACCTCAACCAATCACTGAAGATGAACCTGAAACTACTGAATCTACCAGTGAAGATAAACAAGATGAAACGAAAGCTGTGGAGAGCTCAGAATTTGCTCCAGGTGGATGGTTTGACAATGTTGAAGATGGTCAAGAAATTGGTGCTGAAATTTTGACAGTTGATGGCCAAGTACCTCAACCAATCACTGAAGATGAACCTGAAACTACTGAATCTACCAGTGAAGATAAACAAACAAGATGAAACGAAAGCTGTTGAGAGCTCAGAATTTGCTCCAGGTGGATGGTTTGACAATGTTGAAGATGGTCAAGAAATTGGTGCTGAAATTTTGACAGTTGATGGCCAAGTACCTCAACCAATCACTGAAGATGAAGCTGAAACTACTGAATCTACCAGTGAAGACAAACAAGATGAAACAAAAGCTGTGGAGAGCTCAGAATTTGCTCCAGGTGGATGGTTTGACAATGTTGAAGATGGGCAAGAAATTGGTGCTGAAATTTTGACAGTTGATGGCCAAGTACCTCAACCAATCACTGAAGATGAACCTGAAACTACTGAATCTACCAGTGAAGATAAGCAAGATGAAACAAAAGCTGTTGAGAGCTCAGAATTTGCTCCAGGTGGATGGTTTGACAATGTTGAAGATGGGCAAGAAATTGGTGCTGAAATTTTGACAGTTGATGGCCAAGTACCCCAACCAATCACTGAAGATGAACCTGAAACTACTGAATCTACCAGTGAAGACAAACAAGATGAAACGAAAGCTGTGGAGAGCTCAGAATTTGCTCCAGGTGGATGGTTTGACAATGTTGAAGATGGGCAAGAAATTGGTGCTGAAATTTTGACAGTTGATGGCCAAGTACCTCAACCAATCACTGAAGATGAACCTGAAACTACTGAATCTACCAGTGAAGATAAGCAAGATGAAACAAAAGCTGTTGAGAGCTCAGAATTTGCTCCAGGTGGATGGTTTGACAATGTTGAAGATGGTCAAGAAATTGGTGCTGAAATTTTGACAGTTGATGGCCAAGTACCCTCAACCAATCACTGAAGATGAAGCTGAAACTACTGAATCTACCAGTGAAGACAAACAAGATGAAACGAAAAGCTGTGGAGAGCTCAGAATTTGCTCCAGGTGGATGGTTTGACAATGTTGAAGATGGGCAAGAAATTGGTGCTGAAATTTTGACAGTTGATGGCCAAGTACCTCAACCAATCACTGAAGATGAAGCTGAAACTACTGAATCTACCAGTGAAGACAAACAAGATGAAACAAAAGCTGTTGAGAGCTCAGAATTTGCTCCAGGTGGATGGTTTGACAATGTTGAAGATGGGCAAGAAATTGGTGCTGAAATTTTGACAGTTGATGGCCAAGTACCTCAACCAATCACTGAAGATGAACCTGAAACTACTGAATCTACCAGTGAAGATAAACAAGATGAAACAAAAGCTGTTGAGAGCTCAGAATTTGCTCCAGGTGGATGGTTTGACA